ATATATATATATATATATATATATATATATATATATATAACGGTTTCTTCGTCGTACAAGCTTTGATTGATAAGCTACTGTTGGTAAATTCACGAAAATCTACAATTATCCATGATCAACCCTACCGTTTCTCGTACGGAAGCAAGTGACTCATCACAGTTCTTAGTAAATCGAATCATCAAGCAAGTGAGAAAGATGAGTTCAAACGAATCAACTTCTTTCATAAGATCGGACATTCGGACATAATAGCCGAAAGAACGTTGTTGAATTCACGCGATTTACCGGACTTATAGAAAATTTGGAGGTTTTTTGTCAGTCATTTTCTACTCAATCGTAGAAGAACTTCTCGCTTGAACCAGTTGGTTAGTTGTACGGGTTCAAGGCCTTTTCATCAAAAAAAGCAACAACGGACAGTACCGAAGAATCTGCATGCCCCGCATCATCCTTTTCACGCTAATTCGATTCACCGGACACATTGAAATCGACGGATCTATTTAAAATCTACCAATCAATACGAAGCCTAGATTGGATGGAATGTTACCTGGACAAGTGAAAGAATATCAGACTGAATGGTACGCGTCTTTTGGGAATCTAACTTTTGGATGTTTGTGTGTGTGCGTGTGTGTGTGCGCGCGGACTCAAGCACCCAATGTCAAAAATCGAATCATGGAAGTTCCAGACAGGGGCAATGAATAGGCGTTCGGAATCTTCCGGCAACAAGTGTGCACCTGAATAAGAACTCATCATTAGAATCACACTCGACATCGTTATTTGACGGCTGTTGGTTAGAAGCTGGTTCAAACTTGTAAAATGTCTCCCGTGTGTTATCGAATGTGACGAGGGCGACTGACGTGACCGCGGATAAAAAAACCTGTTCGCGTAAAGAATGGTGGAAACTGGTTGTGATGAATTGGTCACGTTGAGTAGGGATATGACGATATCCCTGTTTCAAGAACACCTCGTACAATGCTTTCTTCGAATTATTAAATTGCTGAAAGTACAAGTCTACTGACAACCATGGGTAATGTGAGTTTACCGTCTTTTTGCTGGTTTGCCTTTCATTTGCCAAATCTTTTGTAGTAATTATTTTTAATAGTCCATATCTTGTCCCTTTGGTGACACATTGAGTAAACATTTCCTCAAATGTACTAAATCCCCCGTGGTTAACGGTGCACAGGGCTCACGACATGTACTGAAGAGAAAAACGTCAGACGCACACAGTGTTTATCTTAATTCACGGACAGTCGTTGGATTACAACGTCCTCTCCACTAGAGCAGCTGGTTTAGGCTTGTCCCTTCGGCGGCTCTTTGAAGGTTGTAAGTGATATTCCGAACCTTTTCTCACGAAAACGCATTTGCTACACACTCCAGCGAATTTGCCCCACATATAACGCTGTTGTCCCATTTACTTTGCCTTTTGCAAAATACACAAGCCAACTAAGGAGAAAAGCGCAGATCAGATAGCCCAAGTTATTCGGAGTAGATCAATTTATGATGTTTAAAGGTGTTCTTAACTGTTAATAACCAGGAGCAAGGCCAGGTTAAAAAACCATCCAATGTCGACTCATCCTACCAAAACGCTGGGCCTCCTGAAAGGATTTTTCATGGATTCAATCCTCCTGAAGGGCAACTTCCTTGTGGTCTTCCCTTCGGAAGGAAGAGTTTATAGCAATGTATTACTATCTATCCAAGAGTCGGTTCACACTAATTTAGTACGAAGTTTGGTCTTGTAGCACACCGTCATTCAAAATCAACACAGTTAAACGTCTTTTCAAAGAGCCAACCATCAAAACGACCCATATCTCTATCACTGAATGCCCGGCTTCTGCAGAGCGAGCATAAAAGTCTTCCTCGTTGTGACCTCCTCTTGACGTAGTTAAATGAAGCACGCTGTGGTTCCGGTTCACTTGCGCCCAAGAAGAATACAGTCTGTAATATTCATCCAGCTAAACTGGCTGTGTGACAAACAGCAGGTTCAACTTGAACATTATTCATATCAGGACATTTTGAAAGTATGGTGAAGATTTCCTCTCATAAGTGTCTCGAACTATAGAGCCGTTTTATCCTTATCGAGAATCTGCATCACAAGCTGAGCGATTCTTACAAATCTCCAGGGAGTTTCGAACCCCGCCGCGGTCGATAGATGAAGGCTAGACCGTTCGGTGGTGATCGACCGATCGGCAGTGTGATCCAAGCGTACTCGGCTGGGACTTCATTATGACTTGCTCGATGCCTGTGTCTAAGAAGCGCCCAAGAAAAGTTGCTTGAAAGTTGTCAGTAGTGTGACACGGATAATCGACGAAATAATCGGAATCATCTAGAAACTACTAAACACGTCCAGGCATTCTGATTCGGAACTGCAATTACAGGATGGGACGAAGCAGACCGATTAATTATCATTTGAATTGCAAATAACCGTAATTGTTTTCGAGAAATACACTCATTTGCAAATCAATCTGGTTTTAATGAGAGACTCACATGAATCTCTCGTTTATGATATTCTACTACTGAATGTGCCGCACCGCCTCATGTTTCACTTGGCACAATATTCGAGATATCGCAGTATATTTCCATAAAGGAAACTACTCACAAGGTTGCTACAACCTTGTGAAAATTACGAGCAAAATTATGCAAATGCACTGGTAGATATTAATCAGATAAATTCAAGGCTGCTGAACGGTTGGAAATGTTGGAGTTTGTTTGAAATCAAAAACTCCATCCCAACCCTCAAGGCCAAAATAAGAATCCGTCCAAATACAAGCTGAATTCCGTTACCACTGAGCACGACTTATAATACCCTTTCCTTCTTGTTGACTCACCCGCGAGGTAATAACCCATTTGAAAATAATATGGAATTCTCGAGAAATACACTCATTTGCAAATCAATTGGGCTTTCACGAGAGACTCAACTGAATCTCTCGTTTTTGGTGAGTGTATTTCTCAAAAACAGTCCAATTTGGGTTCAAGTAGAACATAAGGTTGAGGGAAACTCGGGGACTGCACCTATCGGATGAGCCCCAAGAAGGGCGAAACCGGTCATGGGCTATCCAAGAGTTTTCATCAACCTTTTGAGTAGTTTCCTTCACCAAAATATGAGATTCTCCTGACGATGCTTTGTGGTCAAGGCAGTACATAATTTGGCACGTTTGACTGCACCCAGTCCTTACAGGAGGAACCTCCGGTCAACTCACATACAAACTCAGAGCTGACCTTGGGTTGCCTGTAGATCTCAGGCCGATATCAAGTATTCTAAGCAAGATTTCAAACTTTTATTTTGTCTTGTTGTCTGTAAATCGCAAAAGTGCTTGCTTGGTGTGGTAGGAACTGATCATATGACGATTCGAATTACGCCCCCATTACCGTGGATTTATCATTCGTTATCTGTGGGCTTACATAAATCTTTTAGTTTTTTACTCCTATCCTGACGTTACCCCCTCTACATCCCTCGTATGCCACCAAACTCGTCTGCATTCCGTCCCACAGACCAGATTCTTCAGCGCTCAGTATCACAAAGGTACGTGTGTTGAACTACAATTGATCTTTTGTTGATCGCTTCATTTGATTTTGTCGGTCACACCATCGACTTTCGTGCTTGATAAACGGTTTTACGTGTGCTCATCGATTTTTCATCTTGCTTGCTGGATAAGGGAAGGCATATTGATTTATATGCAAACAACCTGAGACTAATACATGTTGAAATGTTGTACACGGGGCCCTATGAGTAGTATGAATTTACTGACGCGAAGGCTTGGCCAAAAGCTTGTGGAAGGGTTTACGGCATTTTGCAAACCAAATAAAAATAAATACTTATAAGATAATACTTAGAAAACGCACTTGATAGAAAGAAGATGGATACCTCAACCGGGCTTATTTGTTGCCGTTATTGCATAAAAATTGTCTCTTCTGGTCATTGAGCTCAGTTAGCGACCATCTGCACTGCCAGGATTCTCCTCAGCAGCACATTTTTAATACCTAATCCCACGATGACGAAAAACTGAGAGTGATGTTAGTGCAAGACGCTCATTTGCATACCAATTGGGTTCTGACAGAATACTCACTTAGAACTGAGGTGAATTTCTTGTTTATGATGTTTTTGCGAACGTGAACTGTAGTCATGGTTTATGTAGAGGTAGAATGCGTTGAAAAATGCCTGAACACCTGGCAACCGTAGGTGCTAGAGGAAAGGATTTCGCAAAATTCTCAAAGGCACGCGGTAGAATCAAGCGGTGCATCAGGCTAAGAGCGCACTCAACTTCAGGGCACTTTGCGTTGTTTTTCGACTACATATCAAGTAGTCTATGCAGCGCAATATAGTTCTTGCTTTTACTGATCGAGAAGACGAGAGCCGACGATCGTTCGGCAGCTTCACCATGACTGATGCATCGCAAGCGAAGCGAACGATTCCGCCGGGTGATGCTCAACAAACATGCACAATTCTTGTTCATTTGCGAGGTGTACAAAATGTGGAATACTCTTCCTAATATACCCCACAGTGTAACAATTTATTGGCGAAGGGCTTCGGTTTACGCAAAAGGTATTTTCTGACGCGGTATACCGTAAAACTAAAAAGGTAACTATCGGCAAATGGGTTCAGGATGCTGAAAACCTTTTCACCAGTCCTAATCGTTCGTTTCATCAATTGATGAGCGATCAGCAAATATATAGTGTCTCAAAGGCCTTCCCGGTGTTGAATGGCTTTGGTGGATTCGCAACGAATTATTTAGAAAACGGATAGTTGATTGTGCAACCGGTTATCATCATCATCTGCAGTCGAGCGCCGAAATCTCGTCTACCGAGACACATGTTCCCCATATCTCCTTCACAGTGGCTTAAAATAATGGATAGACTTCTCAAAAAAGTGTGAAGGACACTACGAAAGCTTTTCTGTTGTTAATACTGTTCGTCTTCCAGTTTTGGGTACCCGCTTGGGTGGAGACACTGCAAGAAATATCGGCTAATCAATGTCGCGGGCGTTCGTACAGTCAGTTTACTCCCAGGTTGCCTGTTTGAGCGCTTGAAGGTTTCCGCAACTCAGGATGCCTCGTCTGCACCAAGTCCCTCTATGATACACTCTATTCTCCTCTTTTCACTTTAACGCTTTAAATGTATGTAACCAAGCGTTGAGGTTGTACTTTAGCGTCATACTTTAACGTCAACATTGATGTGGATTCTCTGATGACAATGATCATGATGCGAGCTAAAATAGATTGGTTGAAACTAAAATCTATTTGATACTAACTAGTTCTCGCCATTTGATGTCAGCTAACACAATCCGGGTTGCAATGTCAATGAGTTATCAGACAAGTTATGATAGACCCAGACATTTTTTGGGCTATTCTAGCAATCGACTGAATACCAAGATAAAATAACGTCTGATGATCAACGCTCACCTGTAAGAGGGCGGAAATCCATAGGCTGACACGGGGCAGGTGGAGGAGGCTGTGCGTGCATTTGCCCCAGTATTGCATCTAAACTCTGATAGTTTGCGTAATCCTCGGCTGATCCACTAGCCTGGATTTTCATTTGACCTTGGGCAAACGCTTGGCCAGGCATAGATGAAGATGTCTGACCTGCCTGTGTGGGTGCACGGGTGAACAGAGATGTATTTTGACAGGTGGCACCAGTATGTTTTGCCCCACCGGGCAACCCTTCTCGGTACTGAACAAACTGATTCACCAATTCGGACAAAACTGAGGCCCCTGGGGCTTGCATTTCTTCATCGCCCGAGGAATAGCACGAACGTGTTGGTATACGCCGCACTGGTTGTTGGGCAGTTTGGGCAGCCCTATTCGTCGGTGAAACAACTCCGATTGTTGACCTTGGAGTGCACTGCATTGTGGCGATGGCTACAGCCGCAGCCGCTGCTGCAGCCGCGGCAGCTGCCTGCTGTTGCCGCTGTTGCTGCAATAATCGCTGCTGTTGTTGTTGCTTCTGCATGCGCAAATTCTGCTGACGGTGTCCATCACTAATCATGGTCATATCACTGTCGGACCACCGTGCACTCACCGGCGGCCGTGATGTGCCTACCCCAGACTGGGGATTGACTCGCTGAAGTAGGCTTTGTAAAACCGATGTTTGGGAGCTTGATGAGGTAGTCGGTTTGGATGCCGAAAGTAAGGCAGAGAGTAGCTGCTGTCTTTCCTGATCAGTTCCAAGAGTGACAGAGGACATATCACTCGTTATACGATCCAGCACAGTACGTCCGGATGCAACCTCAGACGTTGGTTGTACTTGGACGTGTGCAGAGTATGTGGAATCCCGAGGGCGGTTTTCTATACTCGGTTCACTGGGAAGAACTTCAGAATGTTCATCTAACTGGTTTGCCAACAGCGAACGTAACGTTTGTTGCCGACTGAGAACGGGGACGGATGAAGCCATTTGATTTTGTTGCAGGGATGGGAGATAGACATAATCTCGGGCCGAGTAATTTCGAATTAGTGGGGGGCGGGAATATTCTGGGAGAGATGTTCGGCTTCTTGAATCGGTCAAGCGAATCCGTTCATCCAACGTGATATCCGGTAGCAAAGACCGCTCACATACAGCCTTTTCACCTACATCTCTTTGTTCACGGGCAAAGTGTACAACACGACTTTCCATTCCACGAGATCCCGCAATCTCTGGATATACAGATGAACGTTGCGGGCCAATTGAGCCATTGGGATAATCCCTGGGGTTTGAGGACATAGTCTTGATAGAAGCCAAGTCCGAAAATACTTGAATCTGGGCACCAGGCGCTTTCGCCTTACGTCGAATAAATTGGACTGGGTTCGAGTGCACGGACCCGACTGGCTCCGTGTCCGAAGCCAATTGATCAGAACGTAGTAGGGGTTTACTCCGTTGTCGATAGTTTCGTTTGAGACAGGATCTTTTAACGTGGTCAAGACTTGAGTCTGAATGAATGTGTGAGCAGTACGGGGCTGGCTTAGGCCCATAATATCCTTCGCCGTTGTGACCGCAGGATGTCGGGCTCCAAATGTCCGCACATAAATCGTTATGCTTCTGTACGGTATCAGGACAGGATTTGTGTTCGATTGTATACTGAGAGTGTTCACTTGATACACCACTATCGAAGGATTCCTCAGCCATCTGGTGCTCCAACCGGAGCTCAATAATCCACAATTCAAGGAAACGCCCAATGAAGCACGGTGCGTGTGCAGGGATAGGTTTGGTCCAAATCGTTAAGATATTGATCTCAGTAACCGAAACTGAACAGTGAGCAAACAAGGAATGTTGGAGCGGCACCCACTTCTCGATCAATCGATGATGATGATGATGAGGCGGCGGTGAATGCCAACATCCACAATGAAGATTTCGTAGTTTCTCGGTCGAACTCGGCAGACGGCACATTTTTTGGCGATATACTCGTTGTTGTCATGCACAAAATATCCCCCAGAAAAGCTTAAGTCGTCCGAATTCAAACAACATTTAGCCATGTAGTATCACCCAGAAATCCTCGAGAACAAAGAGCAGAGTTCAGCGGTGATGCGATGACACCAATTCGGACATCAGTGTGTGTCTACGTATGCTCACAGTTCGGTCGTTGTAATCCATATCAGACTTTAGTGAAATACATCGAGATCGGGATGACGAGAGCTATTGGCGTATTTGATGAGGCGTGTGAAAAACACTGGACAATCTTAGTCCTTAGGATTAGAGCGATGCAAACTGACACGTGTTCAATTGATCTGTTCCGAGAACGAATTCCTCCTGCGGTCTCAGTGGATGTTTACTCGACCAGCCAGCCAACCAGCCAGCCAGCCAGCCTTCTATGCTATCCTGCTGAGCTGTAGTTTGGCAGATAATCAACACAGTTCTCCTTGGTTGTGTGTGTGTGTGATAGCTACTCATCCACACAGATTGGTAAGAGCAACTAGAGTTTGACCAGCCACCCGGCCGGACGGACAGGCATGAGACCAGCTATTTACATAGCTGTCCTGTGTGACAAACCTGTGAATGTTGGGTAATCGAACCTCGGCAACGCCGCAGTGTGAGCGCAGGACAACAGAGAGAACGCCCACGCACAGATTCCAAGAATTACACCGCATCCCAACAAACTGGCTATCGGGACGCACTGCGTGCTGGAGAGGGTTGGTCCGTAGGTGGACTGGTTTATGTAGACGCACGCATGATAGTTGGATGGACGTGCGCCCCGGGCAACAAACAGAACGAGAAACAACCAATACCAAGTGATTG